AAAAAAAAAAAAAAAAAAAGGCAAAGGAAATCACGTGCCAAGTGCCACGTATCAAAAACGGCGTTACGGTTTAACCACATCATTCCATTTCTATCCCTACAAGTCGTCCCCACAGCTCAAGCTCTCCGATGAAGAACGTGCCGTCTCTTCTTTTCTCTACAACAACGGTAACAACAAAAAGTGATAAAGAAGCTTGAAAGATTCATTTTCTCTTCTCAATTCTTTCCTAAGAATCAATTTTCTTGCTCGCAATCATTGGATCTGAATTGCGTAACCTTCCCACGCTTCTTCCGGCGCCGACGCGATGAGGGAGACGCTCGAGAGGCATCCGAGTTCGTCCTTGAGTTCCTCCGAAGTTGATGTAAGCATCGAGCGTGATGTGAGGAGGGAGAATGGTAGTGGTAGCGATGCAATGGTTAGCAGGGAAGCTGGAATTGAAGATGATGTTACTCCGAAAAGTAATAGTGGAGATGGCTCTCCAGGTTTGTAGGTTGTTGCTTTGACAATTTCGCTTGCTGCTTGCATGTTTTATGGTTTTTATTTTGTTTGCTCAATGTTGCTTGTTAGGACTCTGCTGACGGATCTGTTGTGTACATTTTTTTGGTTAGGTGAACTCGATAAGCTTATTAATTGATATGGATGTTAGGCCGTAAGGCCGTAATCTTTGGTAGGAGGGTTGGGAGTGAGCTTGTGGTTGTGTTCTACTCTGTTACTTCATGTGCATTACTTGTTTTACGAATTTTGTTGTTGTCGGTGTTGTACTCCCGTTTATCTCTTGCCTTGACTGTTACCGATGGGAGCGCAGGATGTTGCGGATCCTCTCATCTATTTGTTGAACTGACTCCAATTATATATTATCCAATAACATTATTGAGAAAATCATTTGATTCTAGTTTATTTGGTAGAGCGATAGAAACTGGTTGAGGGAAAGAAACACTACTTTGGATCGGATTCTGAAAGTTGATTTATACTTGAAGTTAAAGGTTTTAGATGTTTGCTTGGATTGTGTTTGTAGTTTCTTTGTAATTTTATTGGATTTCTTCGTTCCCACTTTTTTAGAGTTTGTATCTTTTGAACATTAGTCTCTTTTCATTTTTTTTTCCAGTGAAAAGTTCTATTTCTTGTTAAAGAAAAGGGGTTTTGGCTATTGATCAGTGGGTCTGAGATGAATGTAACTTGACTTTGCAAATGCTAGAAACTAGATAGCAAGGTTAAATTTGTCAAAAGAAAAAAAAAAAAAAAAAGGAACGAAGAAAAAAGAAAAAAAATTTAAAGACTTAAGAGGCCTATCTTGTGACTGGCCTGTATAAGATTATTGCAGACTTTAGGTCTATAAGTTTCGTGACTAGCCTGTATAAGAACATTGAAAATTTTAGTTGAGAGACTTAGGAAAGTGCTCCCAAGTACTATTTCAAATGCCATAGGAGATATTATCATGGATAGGCCGATTTTAGATCAATTTTTGACTGCGAATGAAACCATAGGGCGCTTCAGGGTGAGGAAGAAGGAAGAAGTGATCCTCAAGATTGATTCTGAGAAAGTTTTTGGCCATGTGAACCGGAGTTTCCTATAAGGTCTTGTGCAATAAAAGTTTTTGGTTCAAGTGGAGAGTCTGGATTTAAAATTGCGTTTGGTTGGGGAAACTTTCCATCTTCATCAATGGATGTCTCCAGGGGAAGATTTTTTCGATGAGAGGTCATAGGCAAGGTGATCCTATTTCTCCCCTTCTATTTAATCTGGTGGTGGGCGATTTTAGCCAGTTAGTGTATGTTGGAGTGGAGAAGGGGGTGGTGGAGGGTTTTTTATTGTGGGATCTGATGGAGTTCAATTATCGCACCTTCAATTCGATGATGACACTTTTTTTTTTAATTTTTTATTTTATCTGAGAAGGACAATATCCTTAGGAATCTCAATGGTTTACTGTCCTTCTTTGAAGCTATTTCAGGTTTAAAAATTAATCGTTGGAAGAGTACTATTCTTGGAGTGAATTGTGAGGTTGCTAAATTGAATTACTGGGTCTCTTTTATGGGGCGTGAAGCTCAGTTAGCTTCTTGAGTCCTCCTCTTAGGGGGAGGGGGAGGGGGAGGGGGAGG